CTCACTATAATAGTGTACAGTATATAATATTATATAGGATATAATCATTGACAAGTGATGCAATTATGTATATATATTTAACAGTATATTGCCTTACCTAGTAATTCTAAAGCATAAAAATTAATAAATTTGAAAAAAAATTACGTTAAACTACTTTTTTTCCTAGTCATAGAAACACCCAGAAGTGTCTTTTTAAAACCAAACTTTGTTAAAACACTTAAAATATATTCAAAAGAAATACTACAGGTAAGTTTACACTGTTGCCGGTCTTCTTATGAGGGAAAACTACCAGGCTATTTGCTTAGCTACTATGTCGCGCGTTGGAGGGAGGCGAGGCCACGCCCTATACGTATAATAAAATACTACGTTATCAAAAATGTACAATATTTCATGGTGCGAATATTGTTTATGCTTTCTTTGAATAGTACAGCGCGCAGCAATTTTGACAGATGACAGGTGAAAAAAAATGTAGTTTTTTATTTAATAACTGATGGCCAATTTTATCAAATGTCTTACTCATGTTAATGTATGTCATATACATTAACATGAGTAAGTCTAGTTGACTGCTATTATGAATGCTTCTTTTCCTCTTATATCAATTTAATTAAATTTGTGGTTTTTGACCGGCCTGGCATAAATTCATGCTGATTAGGCGAAATTGTGAACTTCAAAGACCCAAAAATATAATTATAAATAATAATTTCAAAAAGTTTTGAAAATAAATTGGTCTTAATAATTATTACTTATTTATAACACTCTTATGGCCACTTTTAAATACTGGACAGGTATAAAAGTAGTATATTATATATTAGGTTTTATAAACGCCATTTTAGTTACATGTTTTATTAGGCACAAGCGAGCGGGTGTTTAATAAAAACAAGTGTCTAGAGAAGTTTATAAAACGAGTTGCATATGACGTCAGAGTTAATTTCTATTCATACGTACCCAGGCCCAATCTAAAGCCGGGTCTACAACTGTCGCAGGTCACAGATCGCAGAACATAAGCTTGCGCAAAGCACCCAGCTGACAAAAGAACCTTGCTCCATCGCCACGTCGCGGGGTGCTTTGCGCAAGCTTATGTTCTTCGATCAGACCCCTGCGACAATTGTAGACCCGGCTTAACGCTCGTGCATTCTTGACTGTTTATAGCGGTGGGGGCTGTTTATTAATATGGAATTATAACATATTTGTTAAAATCTTCTACACTTACTAATTAGGAGTTTGTTACGGGTCAGACTGGAGTCTGATTATTTCCCCAAATTTATTATAAGGGCGCTATGACTTCGCAATCTAATAACTGTTGGCGTTGCCAATAAGCTTGTAACATTGTTTGCATATTTATCAAATGGATCAAAAATCGTACATATAAAGTAAAAATGGCCCAAAAAAGTATATGAGTTAAGGTAGGCCGACAATATTTTTTTACAAAAATGGTAGGTATTCAAAGCTGTCTACTCAATAATTTTTTTAAACTTGTTGACCTAAAATATTATTTATCTGCGCCCCTTGGGCCCTGAAGGGCTAGGGTCACCATATATATAATTTTTTTACTAGTGTGTAAAAGTTGTCTTAAATGTCAAAAACTAAGGTCTATCAAAAACTTTTTGATATTGTAACGATAGGGAACTCCACATGATGGGGACTGTTGGGTGTCGTGTTTAAAAGCGAAACATGCATTATAACTGCTTTATTAAAAATTTGTGGTTTATATACAAACTACTCTCTTAAAATGAATCATTAATCAAAAATAACTAATTTTAAGTCATATTTAACTAATTGTCATAGCGAAAAAGTAGTCACTAATAATTAGTCAAATTCTACTGAATAAAATAGTCAAATTAGTATATTTAAATTTATAAAAAGTTTTGACCCAGTCGGGGATTGAACTCAGGTCCGTCACTTGTCACTTGTCAATAAATATTGTTCATATTATTTTAAAGTTAAATATATAATTTGTATTGCTGTTTTGAGCTAAACTTTTTGCATCTTTATTTATTTTTATGGGTCATTTCATGGAGCTTAGCTATATGCATTTAATTCAAATAATGCTTTGTTGTTGGCCGCAAACGATTTAAAAAAATTAGTTACTTGTAACTCTCAGAAATAGTCAAAGATGGTAACTAATCTTAAATTAGTCAAACTTTAACTATTTGCCTAGTAAAAAATAACTACTTAAAAATGAAAACGACTATTTTATTAGTAAAAAATGCTGGTACTATTTCAAATAGTAGAATTTTGACTATTTAATTTTTAGAGAGTAAGAACGTACACCAACAGGAAAGGAATAAATGCAAAAACAACATAAATATAATGAAATTATGTAAACCAAAGAAAAAAATAATTGTTCAAGGAAGGAACATAAAAACAAGAACAAGAAAAATAAGTATAGTATAGTATAGTATATATAAATGCTGCTATAAACGCATCGAGTGAAAAGGAAACAAACTGTTTTGAAGTAAGAGAAGACAATAAATATATAATTATTATTGGAGAGTGGAATGGAAGAATTGGAAAAGACTTAAATAGAAAAATGGGATGCATGGAGAAATTCGGTAAAAAAGCTTTAAACAAAAATGGAATTAAAATAATAGAATCTTGTCAATAAAATGATTTTTATTAATACCTTCTGTCAGCAACCTTCGGATATTAAATTTACGTATATTGCAGAAGCAAGTAATGTTAAAAGCATTATAGGCTACATAATATAAACAAAAAAACGGATTATTTGTACGTACAGAACATAGGCTAGTAACAGCCATAATAAACAATATACATAAGAGCATACAAGACAGAAATAAACCCTATCAAATTCAAATTAAACAGAAAAATATAGCAGGAAAAATAAAAAAAATAATTGAAAGTGATAGAAGCTGGTAAAATTGGCAAATAAAACAGGAAGAGACCAAACAAAACATGGAATAATAGAATTATGAAAATTGGTTTATAAATAGGCCTACGGACATTGGCTAGGAATAAAAATAGTAATTTATTGGTGTTTTAAATACATTGGAATTTTTACACACGTTAAAAATAAATACTTTTATAATAATGTTACAGATTCATTACATAAAATAACAAACAATATAAAAATCCACATAGCCAAACGTAAGTACAATAAATGAGTAAAGTACTCCAGACCGCGAACAACAATTTCTAAAATAGAATAAAAAGCTTTATATAATAATTTTTCTTTTAACTTTTGTTTAAAGAGTTTTAAGGACAACATTTGAAGATCTTGATCTAACTTATTAAGGAATAATGAACCATAGTAGTTTTCAGCAATTCTGATTGCTTTTAGCCGAAGATAATTGGGTCTTAAATTATTTGATCCACGGGTATAAGTCGTGTGAAAATAAATATTTTTATTATAAAGCATCATATGTTCTTTTACGCGAATCTATATAAAGACTAGGCAAGTAAAAAGTTTTAATTTTATAAATTTAGATTTGCAATCCTCTCTGAATCCCAGATTACACATAATTCTCAGAACTTTTCTTAAAACCAAATATCCTGATTGAATGCGACGAGTGCCCCCAAGCTAGCAGACCGTAGGACATCACGGAAAAGAGAAGTGAATATATTATAATATGCTGATAATACCACATTCTGTGGAACAACGTTTCTCAAACTCCTAATTAGGTATATATTTTAACTGATCTTAATGTCAACAATATTTATGTGTTCATACCAATTTAGATTTGTGGTAAGTTTTATTCCTAAAAATGTTACTGCATTTAGACTTTTAATGTGACCATGGTCTGCAGTTTGCCAGTGGGTGAATACAATGTCTACCGTCTTAGTTTCATTTAAACTAAGGAAGTTACTATAAAACCATTTCTTATATCTAATTTGTTTGAATGTATATAATTTACCTATAAGCTAATACTTAGTATTACTAGAAGAAGCCACAGTTGTGTCGTCAGCGAATAACAGTACATTGGCATTTTAGGCACAATTCTGAATATCGTTTATAAATAATAAAAATAAGATAGGCCCCAAAACAGAGGCTTACATTGGATAAAATCTACTAACCCGACATCCTGAGTGTAAAAGGGTGTCGCAGGATTAAAAGTATACATGGTGTTTTTGATACTATTGAACATATTGGGTTGGTTGGTTAGTTAGTTGGTTAGTTTTACCATTCTATTTCAGGAATCGAGATTACCTTGTAAAGGTCGGGTATTGTGAAGGTATTTGGGCCGCCAGCGGTCTAAATATTCCCCTGCCAGATAATATTTAGACCGCTGGCGGCCCAAATACCTTTACAATACCCGACCTTCCACCCCACTCCTTGGTTGGCGCAAGCCAACCCCCCACCACCAAACCATGCACATACTCCTATCCAAGAGAAAGAGTAAAAGGTCCTAATGACCTACTCTTGCTCGGGTTCAAGCCCAGTATGCCCTTCTTTGTTATCAGGTCACATTATTATTATTATATACTATTGAACATATTGGGTTGGTTGGTTAGTTAGTTGGTTAGTTTTACCATTCTATTTCAGGAATCGAGATTACCTTGTATAACCATTAGTGCGGTCTTTTACAAAGGCTTAATTATTAACCTAATGACTCATTAATAACGAGGTTCTTTGGTCCCACCACGGGACTTTGATCCAATATACCACTTTCGCCCCGTTAGAATTACTCAGAAGTTACATGAATTTGATACCAATAATTTAGGTCATATTTTTGTCAGTGTGAAGCTAATTTTGTTTTATTTTCTCATATATATTTTGTGTGTTCTAAATTAACACCTTTTTACACAGAAAATACATATATTTTTCAGAAATATGTGCATATATGCGCAGTGTGCATATACCATGGCACACATAACTCAATTAAAATATAAATGTTTTTGAACGCCACAAGTTCAAGTCCTTTATTATCGATTATACGTGTGTACATTACCTATGATAACCAGGTGTTCTTTAAGTACTTGATAACAATATTTTTTTATCGTAAACAAAATATGTAGTTTATTTAATTTTTTTTTAATTTTAGGAAACTGGATTAATATTTTTATCCATTTAAGAAAACAATTGGGATACACAAATGATATAAAATCTTCAATAACTTTTAGTTTTGATAATTTTATTTACACGTATTTTAAGGGATTTACTGTATTTTTTGTATTCTCCTTAATTGTTTCTTATTGTATATACCTATTTGTTGGGGGATTTTTACACGTAAGTAAAATAAAATATATTTTTTATGCTTCCGTATCAACAGATTGCCAAACGTGAAACACTCGGCCCCTTAAACATTTTTCCCGCGGACGGTGTCAGTAAAATTTTTATGGTCACGTCGTTTTTCCATTTTAGAGCTACAAAAACGGTCAACTCGGTTAATATTACCGATGCATAGAAAAGATCTTTAAAATGTTTACGACATCGCCTTCTGCTCCCTTTCCCAGGCGACACGAAATGTTTATGCGTATCGTAAAAACCAATTTGCACCTCTTTCTCGTCTCGTGTTTTTCTTTTTTAACATGCTTGTGAAAAACAGAAAATATTTTGTCGTTTTTGTACTTATATAACTGTAAAATATGTAATTTAACGTTACGATACGTATCAAGTGTACCAGATATTGCATTTAAAAATAAATAATCATTTACACTGAAAACACGAATTATTTTTAAAAAGAATACGTTTTTTATTAATATTTGCAAATTTTTAATACACTCACTTTCAAAAGTCTTGCAGCCCCCCACGTATTTCAAATATAAAATAAATAGGCACAAAATATTTGTATTAATAAAAAGAGCAACTTATTTATAACTAAATACCATAAAATAATCCAAAACAAAAAATGTTAAAGTAATAAAATTCTGATGGGTAAAAAATCATGCTGTTCAATATTTATTGGTTAGTACGAATTAGTTCAATAAAAGTGTAATATGCCTAGAAACGAGTTGTCTGAGTTTAATAGAGCTAGAATTATTGCTTTGTGGCAAGAAGGGCTATCTCGACACCAAATAGCCAATAGAATGAATATTGTTAGAAGCACAGTTAGCAGAACAATAAGACGGTATGAAGAAACTGGTGAGGTGCAAAATAGACCTAGAAATGGTAGACCTCGTGTAACTACAATACGTGAAGATCAATATATTGCCCAATCAGCCCGTAGAAATCGGTCAGTCACCGTACCGGCTCTAAAACATCAGTTCCAGAGAACGTATAACAGGGTGATTTCGAGTGCTACAATCCGTAGAAGGATTTTAGCTTCACCGAGCCGCTCGTTTGCAGTGGGCCAGAATTCATCAAAACAGGCGTTTAGCTGAATGGAGAAACGTGCTTTTTACAGATGAATCGAGGTTTTGGTTAGTGAGTGATGATTACCGAGTAAGAGTTTGGAGGGAAGCAGGACGCATAAATAGACTGGAATCAGCCATTGGAGTTGCTCCTTATCGCGGTGGTACGAATATGTTTTGGGGAGGTATCATGTTCAACAGAAGAACTCCACTTATTCATATACCTGGGACAATGACAGGCGCATACTACCTGCAAAACGTCATAAATCCTATCATTACACCCATATGTAATGAATTAGGGGACCAGTTTATCTTTCTGGACGACAATGCCAGGCCACATCGTACCAGAGGTGTTCAGGAAGTCTTGGAAAACCAAGCTATCACTAGAATGGAATGGCCGGCGATGTCGCCTGACATGAATCCCATAGAACATGTATGGGATTACGAATCCGCCAAGAAATGAGCAGGAACTTATTGTTGCCACTAGGGAGGAATGGGAGAATATTCCGCAAATAATTAATAGTTTAATTATTGGAATGCCAAATCGCGTTGATGCATTATTAAGAAGCAGATGTTTAAATACCGAATATTAATTTGTTGTTGTATTCATTTATTTTAAGTTTTTCTTTAAAGTTTATTTTTTTTTTAATTTTTGTATCCAAATTTTGATTTGTTTTTTTTAATGGTGATTGCTTTAAATAAAATGTATGCATTTAATTTTCTTGTAAGCTTTTTATTAAAATTCACCAGTGGGCTTTTAAAACTTTAAAACAATTTAACATAATCCTAATAATTAGGGGTGCAAGACTTTTGAAAGTGAGTGTAGTTTCTAGTAACTATTTTCAGAAAAATTCATCAAATTTTAAAAAATAAAAAGTTCTTTGAGAATTGTAACACTTTGAAGAATGATATTAAAATAAGATTTGTTTGCTTATGAAGCTACATTTTTTTAACTACAATATCATGTATCTTTAAAAATCGTCAAATTTGTGATAATATTTTTATATTTTATCTATTGTTTTTTGTGTTTTGTGTAAAGATTAACAAGTGTTTGTTTTAGTGGTATTACTACGTGAGGCAGCGAGACAAGGCAGAAGAATGGAAAATCCAACCCACAAAATTCCTTTCGCCTGAACTGGAAAGGCATGAAATTCTGCTGGGATCTTTTACACTATTTCTAAATGCCACGACATCTGCTTTACTCGCCTGTTATATCTCTAACGGCGGATACAGCACTGTCTATTACAATTTTTCTGAATATGGCTGGCTCTGGTACATTCTGCAATGGCCCGTCGTATTTATTTATATGGTAAGTATTTTATATACTATAATTTTTAGTTTTTCATTTTATTAGTTTGGTTAAAGTTGTAAAAGGCAAAAACAGCAATTAAAAAACATGTTTTAATTTAAAATATTACAATATCAAATTATGTTATAGGTATTTTTTATTAATATTAATTAATATACCATTAAATTTTGTTAAATTCATTTTATTCTGGTTTCAATCTTAAAGATGGTGCTGATTGTGAATAAGTACAGGTTGTTTTCGTATAAATGGGACACCCCTCCAAAATCTTTATTTGAAGAGATATTAAAAAAAAAATTATTCTTGTTTTAAAAATATGCAATTTGTATAAGTTTGAATCCAAAACCTCGTAATTTTAACGTAAAAATCATAGTTGCCATGGATAAAAAACTCGTCGTAAAATAACTATGTTTTTATTATTAATTTTTAAGAAAATCTAATAATTGTTTCAAACGCCATGCTTAGGTTTTAGGGTAAAAATTCTTTATCGATGGTTAACCATGATTCTTCTCGCGTTAAATATATCATGATTTTCGGGCTATTAACAATACAAACTATAAATTTTTCAAACCAAAAAACTTAATTTAAATATTCAAAAATATACAGGGTGTTTTATTGAAAAAACAATGTCAATGCAATTTTATTAAATTTACCAATGCTTTTTTGTTTTTGAATTTAAAAATAATTACTTTTTTAACCATAAAAGCTGGATTTTTAAAATATTTTAAAAAAATTTATGAGAGGAAAATCGTGTTGAACTGTGTATTACATTATTGTCAAATGTCGCGTAAAGCAATAATAAAAACATTCTCAGAACTTATTGAACGATTTCTGTTAATAGTAAATCAGTTCTTTATGTTTTTCTCTTTTTTAGGATTACGTTACATATTGGTTGCATAGAATGTACCATTTACCATGCCTTTACAAAAGATTCCACAAACTCCATCATAAATATAAGCAACCAACTGCTTTTTCTGTTACGGCAATCCATCCTTTTGAAGCGCTTCATATCCAGCTTACACTGGTTGTTCCTTTATTTGCTTTTCCAGTTCATTGGAGTAAGTTTTTATAAGTTTTGTTTAAGACATTTCACTTAATTACTTTTTTAATTTTGATTCTTGGTTAAACAATGAAAACATGAATTATTATGTTCCAAACCAGACATATCATTTTACTGAAGCAGACATATTTCCACATTATTTTAAAATTAAGAACAATTTAAATAATTGCAGCAAACAAAACATCGATGAACCTGTTATAGTGACATATCTAGGAAAACACAATTCATTTGTTTTTCTAACATCTGAGTTATCTTTATCTGTTTAATAATATAAATAACATATTATGGTTTAATTTTAACATATTTCATTAAATAAAAGTCTATCATCGTCAAGTCGTGTAATCTAGGCGGCGAATTAATTTTCCATGTGGTGGTTTTATTAAAGTTTAATTGTTGCAAACCATGCAATGAACATTCAGAAACTATCAATGTATTATAATTAAATAGGTTAAAATTAAACCATAATCTGTTATTAAACAGATAATTTAACATCCATATGTACTTTCAAAATAAGTTTAAACATTGTCAACGCGTTCTACTTCTAGCATGGTTGGATCTATGGAACTATAGTTAAAATTGCACTGCAATGCAGAATGCAGGTTAAAAAGATATTACCAAAAATACAATAAGAAATGCCTTTTATAAGCATTATTTTATGCAATTTTATTGTTTGTTTACAAAAAAACATTAAAATTAAAAAAATTAAATACTAAAATATTTTTCTATTTTAGTGACTTTTTATCTTATTGCCATATACAATTACTATCATGGTATAATTGACCATTCAGGTATAAACTTTAAGTCTTATTGGTGGCAACCATGGCAACCGGATGCTATCTTCCATGATAATCATCATCAATATTTTCATGTTAATTTTTCTTTTAATATTGAATATTGGGACAAGGTATTTTTAACATAGTTTTTATTTATACTTAAATTAAATAAACAATTTTTAGTTACACGGAACTTATAGGAAAAAAGATCGCGTTTACACAGAAGAAATTTTTTATGGAACTGGCAAATCTATAAAAGAAGTATCCGCTGAAGAACTAAAAGCAGATTTGGAAGAAAGAAAATCTGAAAACCCTCTGGCTTTCCGTGGAGACAAATCTTATTATGAGTTATCAGAAAAAGACTTGAACAAATTTAATAAACAATTTTGATTTCGTTTTTAAAAATTTTGTAATAAATATTTTTATTAGACTTTCCTTGGTTTTAATTTTAAATTAAACGGCATAAAATAATATAATAATAAAAATAATAAGTAAATAATAATTTGTTATTTAGACCATACAATTTAGACGTTTATTTTTTAGCACTTTTGTTTAATATTATTCAATAGTGTAATTTTTGACTATTCATAAATTTAAATCTTAAGCACATTTCCCGATTCCATTAATTTAAAACTTTCGATCATAATTTTATTTCCATCTTGATTAAGTCGGTTACCAAAAGTAATTTAAATAAGTTGCAATGTCCCATAGAGTTTTCCACAGGCGAAAATCTTTATATTAAAGCTTTTCCGAATAAGGCCTCAAGCTGTCGAAGTTTTTAGCAAACTTCAGAGTGCATGCAATATGGTCGATTGCTAAAAAGAAACAATGAACGAAAGAATATTTAAAAACATTCAGAATTCGGTTCTTAAAACATTTAAAAGGTTTGATTAATAAGTTAAAAAATATTTAGAGCGGAATGTCGTTAACGCAATTAATAAAAGTTTGCAGCAGCAATTTCAAGATACATCAAACTTTACAAGTGTGCATAAAATTTAGGAGTTTGGAAATCGATTAACTTTGATTGGAAAATAAATTAAACGACTACTAATCACTTTCTAGAATCGTACTTTTGATATTAAAGTAAATAATTATTAAAGAATATTTTTTACCTGCCTGCTAATAACAATATCTTTAAAATGCGTTTTAATGGTTAATTTTACAGAATAAAACTTTTGTTTGTCTAATATTGGGCAAAGTTGTGGTGGTCAAGCTTGAACGGTATTAGTTATTATTACAACAAGATTTCACATTATTATAAGTGTTTTAGCATTGGAGATTACATAAAATAAGAGCAACATATTATAGAAATAAAAAACAAGCCTAATTTTTTTAACATTTTTCGAATTGTATATTTTGAGGTTTGCAACAGTGTCAAACTTTTTTAAATGATTTACAATACCATAATAATAATAACAGCATGCTTTATTAAAAGGACGCTAGTCAAAGATAATATAAAAATATTATCTTTGACGCTAGTAACATTTGGGTTAACCCAAATGTTACTGGGGTCCTTTTAAAAGGAGGCTATACAGTTCTCTATAATGCCTAGTATAGCTTAGGTCATTGAAATGGGGCAATCAGTCTAGTTGTTGAAATTTCTTCCTGACACTTTCGTGCTAATTTAAAAAAACTAATCGCTGTTTTTGTGAGGTAAAGTTTTTGAGAGTGAATCATAAAGAACCGAAGGTAAGTAACATAGACCATATTTAAATTTATGCCTTAAAACCATTTTATTTTTCTAAAAAATACCTATTTTGAGGTTATAAATTGTTACAAAAATAATTAATCCATTTATAGGTTGCCTCTTGGGGTATTTTTGTTACCTTCCTTTTAAAAGGACGCTAGCAATTTAGGCAACCAATAGATTTTTAATAATCAAAAGTCTATTAGATATTTGTTATCTACTGGATAACTATCACTTATACTTTTGATACCAGCTTTTGGAAAAATCCTTTTACTTTACATTAGCTTTTGGAATTACTAGATAACTATCACTTATACACTGAAAGAAATATATGTTTGTTTTAGCAATGTATGTGGTAGTCCATATATGAAACATAAAATATATTTACCTTAACCATTTTTATATTTAGTTTTAACATATTATGTTAAAACTAAATATAATATTTGTTTGTTTTAGCAATTTATGTGGTAGTCCATATATGAACCACATACATTGCTAAAACAAACATATATTTCTTTCAGTGTACTTTTGATACCAGCTTTTGGAAAAAGCCTTTGACTTTGAGATTTTGGAATAAGCTGAGAATTATTATATTCCTATAGTACTCTCTAAAAATAAATTAGTCAAAAATGACTAATTTAATAGTTATTAGTGGCTGCATTTTCAATTGTACCATGGTTAACCAGGGAATACCATGGTGCACCAAAATTTAACAGCCAATTTTTATGTAAAATTATCCGCTGAATCCGAAAATACCGTCAAAAATTATGAAAGTGGAGCAGTTTTTGACATAGTCAATTCCATATTAAATGGAAAATTGACTATATCTCAAAAACGGTTCTACTTTTTTTTAACTTTTGACGACATTTTCGGATTCAGGGGATAATTTTACATAAGAATTGGCTGTTAAATTTTGGGATACCTTTGTATTCCATGGCTAACCATGGTACAAGTGAAAAAGCAGCAACTAATATCTATTAGTCATTTTTGACTAATTCATTTTTAGAGAGTAGTTATTTTTCAACCGGAAACTGCAAACGAAGACTGATGTGAATTCTGGTGAAGAGGACTTGGAAGATATAAATAATCTACCCGGGAGTCAACTGCGAGCACCTGTCGAAATTTTGGACATGAATGATACTAATGAAATCTCTGATTCAGAGATAGATCCTGATGAGGTTGTACCTATTTCAGTACTTTCTGGATAGAATTTCGATCCGGGCCAAGAAATATAACTTTCCGCTAATTTACCATTGCATTGATATGACCGTACAGAATGCATGGCATATAGACTTCAAGGAGGAAAAATGGATAAGCTAACTTTTAGAAAACCGATTTCAACTAATTTGCTGGAAACCTAAAAGAGGACCTCCATGTTCATCAAATAATGCTTATGCCTATTCTTGGTACGATAGGATTGACCATTTAATTATATACCAAGAGAAGGTTGCACCCCAAATATTTTTTCAAGGAGTATCACACTAAAAAGTTAATTTTGGAAATGTGTCATTTATTGTTAATAAGTATTTTGTATTTGTAACAATAAATTCTGACAAACTAGCCCATATAACTAATGGCCTTTTAAAAGGTCCAACATTTTGTAATTTAAAAATTAAAAAAATAAAATATAAGTGAATACGATTGTTATGAACTATAATAAACCATTTTTATAAATAATTTAAAATTTTTTATATTCCAAAAATCTTTCAACTGCGGTTTGATGACGCATCGTTCAAATAACGGCAATTTTACATTTGATGCCAGATGCATTAGTTCATTATTAATTAGATTGACAGTGGCGTTATAGTTTCCGATAAATAGGTAGTAGTATTTTTGATAATTTGTCTATTTATTTATTTTTTCAAAAATCCTATAATAGTAAAAAATGATTTTTTCTACTACCACCTTTAAAACGCCCAATATCGTTTTCATGGCACTAAGTGTCCTTTTAAATACAAATTGACAAGTTGTGGCTTTATGACCTTTTAGTCACGGGCTTAAGTTAGTTAAAAGTTGTTAAATGTCATACAAACGTTAAAATAAAGTGCCCTTCTAAAATAATACTAAATGTAAAAATAATTTTATTATCTTAATACAAAAATACAAACGTAATAAATAGTTTCACAACGCCAATATTTGAAGAGTTTATATGAAAATTGTACTGACCTTTTAATTTCGCCGGCAGTAAACTACATCTAACTTAATTTCGGGTGTAGACTGCACCGTGGAGTGCCAATAGAACATTTTCTTTACTTTCACTGTGAAAAACTGCTTCTATATCGGATTAAACGGTCAATTTCCAAGGGATACATTTCGATTTACATATAAAAATTTAACATTTCACCGGTGGGCCGGTAATACAGATTCCCAAGTTGGTTACTTTATTGTTTTAAAGATGAGGATCTATACAAATATTTAATTTAAATTATTTTTAGATAATAATATTTGTCGTAGAAAAAGTATAGTATGCAACTTGTTTATAAACTTTTCTAGATACTCATTTAATTAATCACGGGCTCGCAAGCTTGCTTGTGCATAAATTAAATTCGTTTTTAAAATGGCGTTTATCAAACTTGCTACACAATACTAGAAAAGCATAGAAAGGCATTTAACAATTATTTAATTATTATTTTATTTTTAATAATCTATTGTAGTGGTGACCACTGGGCTGTTATAAAACTGCCAAATGTCAATTTTAAGGTTAAATTATAACCCACAAATTAACCTTCAAATTGTCATTTGACAGCCCTGATAGAATAAGGTATACCTTATATATATTTATTATAAAAGAGGAGTAAAATGGTTGTCCTTAGCACTTAAAGGCCTTATTTGTGGCTTACAAGTGCTTCTGTAAGAAACAAAATGTTTAAAACAAATATTAAACAGCACAAACCCAAAGTGATTTTTAGTATTTTTAGCATGAGATAGAACAGACCTTGTTGTGTGAATTGTGATTTTATTCACATTTTATAATATAATTTTGATAAACAAAACCAGAAAGACAAGTTTTTACAACATCGTTGACATGAAAATTAAAAGGGTTGCCAACAGTCTAAAATAAAAAATCCCTTTTTACGATGCTTTTAAGAAGCACTGAGAACAATTCGTCTAAGAACTCTTAGTAGCATCAATATAGACAAATGTATTAATAACCTCTACAGTGTCAATATTTATTTGGCGGTGAATTGACATAGAATTTCTTAAGACCTACGTTCTTAAATTATTATTTTTTAAAATTTCGTGGGGGGATTAAACTCCCTCATCCCCTCTCTTGCCCATGGCCTTGTCTTTATATAAAGTTTAGTTTTACATTTAAAGTGATAATATTACTTAACTTTCGTTTGTAATTAATAATTCTTAATAAATGAAATTTAGGTTTCACTGATAGGATTATAATTACTTAATAATTAAATTTGTGAAATAGCGCTTTCTTAATGCACAAAACGTGACTAAAATATGCCTGTGAAATTGTGCGTCATTAATTAGATGTTAATTAGATATTTACGTATTTAAATTGGAATCGTAATGAATGTGGGCTTGACTAAATTATCCTTAAGACAAAAACTATCATTGGTCTTTTTAACATTACCAAGAGCCTTTTATAATTTTTACATTTTACTTTTATTGATTTTGTTTATTATTATTTTTCTCCAAAATAGACTTTTTTCGAATTTTTTAGACTTAAGCTTTTCCAAATTCTATATACCCTTCGAATTAAATAATTTTGGCAATGAATTTCTTATTTCACCGAGTCAATTCCTTAGGTTTACTTACTCGTGGATGTACACTTTTGTA